CCACTAGATTGTGGCGAAGTGAACGCACGCACATGCCAGTGACGGTACCGGATGGAAAGGCGGGGCATGGGACTGTGGAGGTACCCTTGGCGAGGGTGGTGAAGCTTGAGTCGAGGCACGCCAGCCTTCACGCCTCTGGCGCAGTTCGGGCGAGCGATCCCCTCCTCCGCGCCAGCCTCCACGCTGCGGACGCGGATCGGGCGAGCCTTCCCCGCCACCGCGCCAGCTTTCACGTCGCGGACGCGGATCGGGCAAGCCTTCCCCGCCGCCGCGCCAGCCTTCACGTCGCGGACGCGGATCGGGCTAGCCTTCCCCGCCGCCGCGCCGGCCTTCACATTGCGGACGCGTGTCGGGCGATCGCTCCCCGCCTCCACGCTGGCCTTCGCGTCGTTGATACGGATCGGGCGTGCGCTCCTCGCCGCCGCGCCCACCTTCTCGCTGCGGATGCGGATCGCGCGAGCGCGATTCGTCGCCTCGCCCTGCTCCGCGCTGCCGATTTCTTTCCGGTGTGCGCGACCGTTCTTCTCGTTTTTCTCCGCGCCGTCCTTGCTGCGCGGACACGCGCGATCCTGCGTTTCGCTCTACTCAGTCCTGCTGACGCGGATCGGACGAGGGGCCTCCCTCCTGACGGTCGCAAGCTTCCTCGTGCTGCTCCTCTCGTGCGCCTTCCGCCTCTTCGACGCTCGCCTTGCTCTGGTCTGCCGTTACCTTAGTCCCGTGCCCCGCCTTCCCATCCGGCACTGTCACTGGCATGTGCGTGCCTTCACTACGCCACAACCTAGTGGCCCAAACGGAAATTCAGGACGCGGGGCTACGCACCATCTTCTCAGAGAACGAGGACTATTGCAACATCATCGATCCACTCACCAACAAAATCTTGGCCGATGTACTGGGAGGTAGCTTAATTAATCATGACAGTGTCAGGGAACAACAGGTTGATATGCACATCAGCATGAGCACTATCACTAGCACTAGCCGACGCGCGGTCCTGGACCTCAACTAGGTGGGCCTTACGAGGGCGCATCCAGTTTGGCGGCTTCTTGTCTACTCCGTGGATGGCATACCATTCGTCGTCTTTCTTCTTGAAGCACGTAGCAAGGGGGTGGTTAGTGCCACCACACACTTGTCCCTTGCGGTTGCCATACTTGACGACGTAGGGGCACGGAGGAAACCAGTTGTGCTGGAAGGGCGCCGAGGCGAGAGCCGCTGCGACACTTGCTTGGGGCATGGGAGCGCGGATGGCGTACGCCTTGGCCTGAGCCGTGGAGTCTTTCTCGGCAGAGAGGAGTGCGGTGGAGACCTTAGCAAAAGTGAGGTCTTCCGCTGAGAGAGTGAGAAGCATCTTCCTCGTGACTTCATATGCCGAGGTGAGACCAACAAGAAGGGCGGCTGCAGGGGCTTGCTCGGGGAAGACTATACCCAGCTCCTTGAGTTCGCCATGAATGGTCTGCACCTTGGCAATGTAGTCGGCCATTCCCAAGCAATCCTAAAGGCGGATCTGGAACATGCTGGGGATGAGGATGGCAACTCCGACTGCCGTCTTGTTCATGAACCGATCCCGGACGTACTTCCAGATGGCGTTGGAGGTAGGGTAGTTGTGGAACGTGTTGACAAGTTCGGGAGGGGTGGAGGCGATGAAGACGCTGATGATGGCAGCATCGGCCTTCTCCCACTTTCGGTACTTTTCAACGCCTTCCTCGTACGCCCTCATGTCAGTATCACTAGCGGATTCGGTCAGCTCACGAGGGAGAAGGGGCTGTTTTCCCTTGCCACGGTTGAGGAGGACGTCCTTGAGGTCAAGGCCCTGCACGTCACGACTCAAGAGGTGCTTGTCAACCCCATAGCTCCATGCCTTGAAGTTGGAGCTAGAGCCATGATGAAGATCCCTTAGTGTCTTGCGCGAAGCGCCGCTCTTAAGTCACCGATAGGAACTTGAGGTTTAGGGTTTACGAAGGAGAATTTCAAGAACTTGAGGTTTTGGGTTTACGAAAGAGAATTTGGAGGTTCTGGGTTTCCGGGGGAGAATTTGACGGAAGCGCTGATTTAGTGTCTGCTAGCCTTATTCCCACACACCCCCCCACACACCACCCTCAGCTTCGCGGCTGCGCTGCTGCTCGGCTTCGCGGCTACACGGCTGCTCTGCTTCGCGACTACGCTGCTACTCGGCTGTGCTGCTGCACCTGTTCAGCTGCGGGAGGGGGGGTGGGGGTGGGAGTGCAGATGCGGGGCGGCGGGCGGCAGCCCGAAGGTGACGCTGCAGGGCGACGGGCGGCGGCCCGACGAGAAGCTGCGGGGCGACGGGCGGCGGCCCGACGAGAAGCTGCGGGGCGACGGGCGGCGGCCCGACGAGGAGAAGAAATGACGCGATGACGTTCGACGAATACGAGCGATAGGTTATAGCGCCGACGATGCTCTTACCAGAGAAATTGTCGTCGAAAACGACGGGAAGGTGGTGCGGGAGAATTTCCGCCCACGAATGTCGCGAATCACCAGCGACAAGATTGAAGGTGGGTACGCCGAGGTTTGCGGGACGAGCATCCGCAGAGATAAGAGGATCACGATCCGCGTGAGCGGTTGAAGAGCTCTGATACCGTGCCAGAACTTAGACATTGAACTGATACATTAGTAGTGAGCTCAAAGCTCTTTAAGTACATCAGAAATGAGCAAGGTATGGATGAGGAGGGAATTAGGGGCAACCCTAGGGAATCAAGGGTAATCCCAAGGCAATCTCCAATTGGTGGGTTGGAGATTGCTTGGAGATTACATTTGGGTTTGGTTGGGATGTGGGTGTACACCCAACCAAACATCAAGTGCAAACTACACTAAACTAAACTAGGATATAAAAGTACAAGTACAAATTGTGAGATTGAGGGCTAACACCAACACTCCCTGCTCAGGAGCTCCGGGAACTCTGCATGCAACTTCAACGCGTGGTGCTCAGCCATCTTCCTTGCTGCTGGCGCCCGTTCCACGTATATTCATTGTTTCACGGCGATTCCACTTCTCACCACAGCCTCCAATCCTGCCCCAATTCCCCCGAACAGCTCTACCAGGCGGATGGGCAGCCGACAGTCAGTCTGCCGCCTCGGCTCATCCATGAGCTTCATCTTGGGCCCTTCTTCCGCTCCTTTCGGTCCCCTCTGTCCCTTTGCCTGCTGTTCTCCTAGTGCCTGCCCCACAGTGTCTTGGTAGGCCCTCTTCGGCTCCACCATCACGAACTGCACGGGCAGCTGCCCAAGGGGCCCTTCCTTCTTCCAGTATCGAGTTTGGAACTCCACTCTCTCCGCCCACGTGCATATTGTCATCCCGACCGCAAATATCATCTCAGTGCCCACCAGGACATCGAAGTCCTCCGAGTCCGAGATTCCACACTTCATCCTGTTTTTGGTTTCATGTTCCTCCCCCGGCAGCAGGGTCAACTCTATGGGTGTTCGTGTGCACGGCATCCACTTCGGTTCCCCCCCTTCTGCTGTCATCACCAACATGCCTCTTGCTACGTGCTTCTCTGGGGCCATCAACCCAAGCCTTTCTGCCATGCTCTTGCCCAGCATCGCACTATGTGCCCCGGTGTCTATGATGGCTGTCTTCACCCTCTCTCCCTCTACTTTCATTGCACCCCCTTTTACCAGCAGCACAGAGGTCTGACAAGCTAACCTCTCTTGCGGGTGGCGCGCCGGAGGATTCTCCTGCTCTTGCTCCTCTGGTTTCTCTCCCTTCTCCCGTTCCTTCCTCACGTGATCCTTCCGGCCGTCTCTTCCTCCGCTCCGCAGCCCCATCTCCTCCCTACCTCTCCAGGCCATGAGGGCACACTATACATCTTGTTCCACCTCTTCTCCCTCTTCATCCCTGGCATACATCCCCGCTTCTGCTTTCCGCTTCGGTCCTAATGCTTGCAGCTGCAACTGCAGCCTGCTGATCTGCCGCTCCAGGTCCTCTGGGTTCCTCTTTGCTCCTCCCTCCCGCTGATAGCAATCTTTCGCCTCGTGCCCCTTCTTGCCACAGATCTCACACCTTGGGGCGTCAGGACACTCTTTCCTTCGGTGCCCTGGCTTCCCGCAGCAGTCACAATTCTTGCAGTCCCGGCGAAGATGCCCCACTTGTCCGCATCTGTGACAGGTCCGGGCATCCGTCCTGCCCTCCCCTCGACCCTCCGGTCTCCCCCGATCCTCGGGAATCATCGCTGCTGCCCAAGTTGGCCTACGGCTGACTTGGGGAGGTATGCTTCATACTTCCTTTGTCCGAGCTCCACTTTTTTCTGCTAGCTCGAACACCTCTTCCAGACTCGCATCTGCCCCAAGCTCATACACCCTCATCCTTAAGCCACCCCCCAAGCTCTCGTCCAACCCCCCCAGGAACTTGCTTATCAGGAGGCTGGTGTCCGTGCACGTCACGTCCTCTGCCACGTTGATCAGCCGGTTGTAGTAGGTGAGAAACGACTCCATCCGTCCCCTTTTGAACTCTTGAAACTCCCTTATCCGCTATGCAGTGTGTCCCGGAAACTGTCGCTGCAGCCGGCGGAGGAACGCCTCTGTGGGGTCTTCACCGTACCTTCCCGCCCTCCACAGCAGCTCATCCATCCTCATCCAATACAATGTCTCAGACTCCCCCTCTAGCATGTTTGGTAAGCTCAGAAATTAGTCCACCGGGTCCATGCCGCTCCTGTCGCACCTATACCGCACGTTCCCCACTTGCATTAGGTAGTTCTTGAGCGAGGGCCCCGCGCGTTGATCTCCTGAGAACCTCGCCGGCACCTCCACTCGTGGTGCCGCGGCCGCACTCCCGCGCCCTTCTCCCCAGGATTCGCTTGTAGCTCCCGCCGGTTTTCCGTGTGTCCCTCTTTCCCTCGCTCTCTCTATTCCTTCCCTGGCCTCCCTGGCTCGTTCTGCACTGTACGCCAAACTTCCGCCCTAATCTTTGCTTCCACGTTGGCCCCACCCCGCCTCCTTCCGCGGGTTCCTTGGGCTCGTCCGCCCTCCCGTGTGTCGCCCTTGCCGGTCTGGCTAGTAGCGCACCTTCGCCCACTCTTCCCGCCGAGTATCGCACCGATGCTTCTCTTGTGATGGTGTCCACTCCTCCCTCCTTCCACCATGCTGCCGACGAACGTACAGCGAGTGCCACCCCTCCTCACGTCTTCCTTCCCACTGCCTGTGCAGATCTGGCGAGCGGGACCCGCCATAACGCCAGCCTTCACGCCTCTGGCGCAGTTCGGGCGAGCAATCCCCTCCTCCGCGCCAAACTCCACGCCGCGGACGCGGATCGGGCGAGCCTTCCCCGCCACCGCGCCAGCCTTCACGTCGCGGACGCGGATCGGGCGAGCCTTCCCCGCCGCCGCGCCGGCCTTCACATTGCGGACGCGTGTCGGGCGATCGCTCCCCGCCTCCACGTCGGCCTTCGCGTCGTTGATACGGATCGGGCGTGCGCTCCTCGCCGCCGCGCCCACCTTCTCGCTGCGGATGCGGATCGCGCGAGCGCGATTCGTCGCCTCGCCCTGCTCCGTGCTGCCGATTCCTTTCCGGTGTGCGCGACCGTTCTTCTCGTTTTTCTCCGCGCCGTCCTTGCTGCGCGGACACGCGCGATCCTGCGTTTCGCTCTACTCTGTCCTGCTGACGCGGATCGGACGAGGGGCCTCCCTCCCGACGGTCGCAGGCTTCCTCGTGCTGCTCCTCTCGTGCGCCTTCCGCCTCTTCGACGCTCGCCTTGCTCTGGTCTGCCGTTCCCTCCGTCTGCGCGGAATCAGCCTCCTCGGCCCCAACGGTGGTGCTGTGATTCCCGTCGGCATCCTCTTCTAGGCGCTGCTGATCATCGTTGTCCTCGTCCGCGCCTTCTCCTAGGTCTCGGGAACCTTCTTCTACGCCATTCGTGTCAGGATCTCCTCCTCGACCAGGACGCCATCCGTGTACGCCTTGCGCGCGGTCGCCTTCTCCGCGTCTGCGGTATTCATCTTCTGGCGAGGGATGTGCTCTAGCGTCACGGCGATACCTACGATCGCCTTCAAATCCGCCGCGCACGTCCGTCCGCCACGGGTCGCTTCTCGTCATGGCGGACCCCACCCCCACAGCTTCATCACGGGCAACGCCTTCTCCACGTCGATCAGGCGGCTGGAGAACCCGATCAGCGAGGAAGGCCGGCCTTCTTGGCGATCGTTCCAGCGAGCGCCCGCGTTCCTGCGAATGTTCGCGCCGCGGCCGTTCCTCTTGCTCACGACGTCTATACTGCTGCCCCATCGCAGCTCGTACTTATCCATGCCTTTTCGCTTGTTAAGAAGGAGTTCCCTCCCTCAGCCCATAGGTTCCCTCCTATTGGCCTGCTGCTAGATGTAGGAACGAAAGCAACTGATTTCACTATGACGAGAGAATAACAAGCGAAAAGCATGGATTATGTGTTCCAGAAAAAAAAAAAAAACACAAAAAAAAAACAAAGAAAAAAACAAAAAAAAATCTGGAAAAAAAAAATATGGAGCCAACTTTGTGGGTCAGGTTTTCAAGCTTCAACTTTCAACTTTCCACCTGCATCTTTGCTCCATGTTTAATGAATTATAACTCGTTCACACTCAGCTAAACCGAATGAATATGTATAAATACATACATACAAAAATAAATATATATATTAAGTGGGGGAGAGGGGGAGGAGGGGTTGAGCCAGACTAGACTTGAACCGAGCAGACTCGAACCACAGTTCGATTTGAACCGCGTTCGGCCACAATTGGGCCACGTACCTCTCAGGTCCTCCAAAGGTCAGATTTGAACCGGTTCAGGTTTGGCTCGACTACCAGGCCGGGCTGACTCGGTTCCTGTCAAACTGGTGGTTTGATGCTTGCTCATGCCAAATTTGGCATGTGCATAATGAAACGAATCTGTGTTTAAAATCGTCTCTCACCCTTGGGTTTCCCAGCTGTTACATGGTCTAACCTGGACGTTACTACCGCTGATCAATGAACTTGCTGATGGTTGTCACATGGCAGACAGCTCACCTCGAGTGATACCAACTCGCTTGCGTGGAGGAAACATTCCTGTGAGAAGATAAAAGACCAACAAAGACAACAAACCGAATGAGCACCAAGATGAGAGATGAGATTCAAGGCAAGAAGCATCTCCACTCTTTTCTAACCATGCGGAGAGATTTTTGCTGAGCAGAGTTAAGTCTGTCAAATCAATCACCATGGTAAACAATCATTTTCAATGCCACCCACCATCACCACAATGCCATGATCACCATCACCGGTACTTCTTCTTCTTATTCATCACCACCACCACCACCATCATCATCATCATCATCATCATCATCATCATCATCATCATCATCATCATCATCATCATCATCATCATCATCATCATCGCCATCGCCATCGCCATCGCCATCGCCATCGCCATCGTCATCGTCATCGTCATCATCATCATCATCATCATCATCATCATCATCATCATCATCATCATCATCATCATCATCATCATCATCATCATCATCATCATCATCATCATCATCAAGACTGACTGTCATTGCCATCACCAACACCCCACTCACCCAAATTACTTGCCTGTTCGCATGGCGGATTTGGCAATCGCGTGCATCTGAAAGGGCCTCTTAGTGGTGGACGCCACGAAGCCAAAGAAGAACGCCGACTGCCGCCCACCAGGCTGCAGCACCGTGCACAGCGACAGCTCCCTCTGCAGCAGCGGCATCTCTGGCTTCACCCTGGAATTCGCCAAAAACACTTGAAGTGCCCCAGAATTCCAAGGGTCATAGTCCACCCATGCCGTGTATGATTCACCGTCGGTCAGAGTGAATGGTGACTCCACTGCGACCAAATAATTGTCCGAGCCATTGATGTTGAGCCCTATATGCTGCTCCGTTGGATCATTGTGGTTGGCATTCTGAAGTGTGTCAAATTCAATGGCTACACTCCTCTTGTCCATTCCACCATACCCTACACCATTAGATTTTCCCACCTTGCCCTTTGCCGTGATCACAAATGCAAAGCCGTTGAACCCGCCAATACCATTCTGGGGAACGAGGCAGAATGTAAAGTTCACACTGAAAGCCAGCTCCGCACCACATCCCGTGGTGAAAGGCTTTGGGTACGCGAAAAGGCTTACTGGCTTTGCCATAAACTTCCCCACTGTCTGTCGCTGCGTTCCCTTGGTGAGAATGGTGAACAAGGGAAAAATAGGCGTGTTTATAAACAGGCCACTATCCCAACCTGAAAGGATTCAACGGATGAGAGAAGGGAACATAGAAGGATGGGATTGGTGGGGATATGGATCTCTGTCAATCTGGAAAAAGAAGGCCGCTTCAGGGTGATGAGCACAGATTAGCAAGGCACGCGTACACTGGTGAAAACAAAAAGGGTCTGTGCAGTGCAGCATAGGTTGCAGAAACCTTGTACAACAGCTGAATGCCTACTAGGTGTCGCCTAGGTTAATGGCGCATCAGAACTTGGCAGGGGAGTGTGAGTGAGATGACTGTTTAGCTGAAATCCTTCTTGTGCTCACCTGGCTAAACAATCCAAATGCATACACAAAGTAAAGAACGCGGTACTAACATGCAGTAGGCCAAGGCACATAAGAAAAAATGTGATGTAGCAGGAAAACGGAATATACAAATTTGATAATTACTATGTTTCACAAGGATCAATAATACAACAATTACCTTGTACAAGACAATTGACCGGTCTGAACTGCACGTATCCCGGTTCACACAAGCACGTTGGCACCAAGCTAGGTCCGTATGGATAGCAGATGCCATGGCCATCACAGGCATTCCATCCACCACAGAATGCCGTGCACTCTGCTGTGGGCCGCTGCTGTTCGAGGGAGCAGTTGGGCTGCCTGGGGAGACAGTTAATCCGTGTGAAGCAGTTGGAAGCAAGACGACCATTAGTGGAGGCTGAAAGATCCAGAGGACCTGTCAAGTAGTTGTTTGATAGGTCTATTTTGGTCCATGGAAGACCCGAAATGGGGCCTGAGAGGTAGTTGTGAGAGGCATCACTGCACGTGAGGAGCAAGGCGAAGGAGGTGCGGGTGGTGGGGTAGGGTAGAAAACATACACAGGCAGGGAATATGGCCGAGGTTAAGAAAAAATATAATAAACAGAAGAATGCCAGAAGGAGGATGAGGCAGAGGAGGAGGAGGGGGAGGAGGAGGAGGAGGAGGAGGAGGAGGAGGAGGATCCAGTTCTGACGGTTGCATCCCTTTTAAAGTTTCCCACGGTTTTTTTTTAGGTTCCAGATTGACACGCAAAACCATCTCAACCCACTTCACCCATTGGAAATCTGGATAACAACCACGTCCTACGAGCCCAAACCATAACCGATTACTTGTCAATGTATTATTTTACCCTCTATCATTGCTTTATTCAGTTGATTTCTTTTTTACTTGGCTCGACTCAAAAAGAATGAGCTCGAAACTCGACAATGACTAGTTACTGAACCCGCTGAGTAGCTTGACTCGTTTGCTCATGTATACCGCTCCCTCCCTCACCACTTGTCTAGTTCTGAGACGCAAGGAGTACCACACAAGGAGGGAAGAGACAGCATATAGAAGGAGAACCAAGCAGGGGCCTCACAGATATTGCAGTTGGGACAAGCGAGTACCAATTTTAGACGGAATGGAGTCAGTGAATTGATTGTTGTTGATAACCCTGCGGAGAACATGATGAGTAGGAGGATTGAGAATGCAGCATGGTGCAATCACAAAAATCCTGATAGACTTGAGCACGGTACCGAACAGGACCAGTTCGGTTCATCAGAGCCCATTCCCAATATGGAATGTGGGAAACGCCCCAATGTTAGGTGGAAGTGGGCGTAGTAGACTATGAGAAAGCTCGACATGAGCTCCAACTCTCTGGAGCGGCCCGGCAAATGTTGCTATCAAACCGTCAAACATGCCGCCCAAAATAAACTGGTTCAGTTTGGGAGACAGCGAACCAAACCACACAGAACCAACTGTGGTCAGTTTTTATGCTCATGCCTAGATATCTACATGGCATCAGCATGTCTGTCATACCCAGGATAAATATTCATGTGCAGGTTATTCGCTTTCTATATCACCCTGGTACAGAATGTGGATTCTCATCTTTTCATACAACAAACAAGAGACGCAAGTGAGAGGAGAAACTGGCAAGGGGCATTACAGGATCTGCACTTCAGTAAGGACTAAAACGAAAGAAATGTTCCCAAAGAACTTGTTGCTGGCTAAAGAACTGCAGTTACGAAAGAGAAGAGCAAGAAAAAGTCACTGCAGATGAAGAGAAGGAACCAAGAACATATGGCAACAGAAAAGCGACAAGCAGATACAAGAAAAGTGAACAGAAGAGAGGACCGCAATTTTTTTTGTTTTTAAACAAAAACAACAAACAAAAGCCAGGGGAAAAATGAATCACAGGAAAATAGAGCAAATGGGGTTTTCCGAGTGGTTGCATATCATCGATCAACCACTCTTCACTCCGCACGCACATAACGAGTTTTTTTGGGTGGAATGTAAAAGAGGTCTCTCGACCATCGAATGCAGAAGCAAGACAAGAGACAAGCCGTACAATCTTCTCAAGTCTGTTAAAAGGGTCAGGAGAGTAGGAGGAATGGGGCCCTCAAGTTGATTGCCTCCCAGAAACCTGCATTTGTGAAAGGATTGAGACACACCGAGCAAAGCGAGAGAGGTACAGTGGGTACAGCGTTCAAGACTTTGACCAAGGATCAGTCAAACCAGCTAGGCGTATTGCAGGTACGATGGGTGCGAGGTTCTGGATTGGGAGAAGAGTAGATGGAAGAAGAGGGAGCTGAGAGAAAAGGACAAGAAAGGGGAAGAGCAATGGGAAAGGAGGTGGAAAAGCGCGAATGTCGAAAATCAGACGATTTTTATTTTCATTGGTACTCTATGGTATCTTCTGGGGAAAAAATGTGCTCTTGTCGGACCAAAAAAAAAAAAGAGCGCTCAAACTTCAAAGATGCCGTTGCAAGCAAGAGAACACTTCACAGAATCTCCTGGTGCGTTAGCAGCACTTCTAAGACCCCCCTCGTTCTACTCACAAAAATTCACCAGCAGTTTCAAAATTTTCACTGAAAATAACGACAATTTTTTTCCACCCAAATGATTTGTTCTATGGTCGTGTTTTGTGGTCGTTTTCTACGGCCAGTTTTTACGATAACGTATTTCATGTACAAATGTTGAGAAAGAGAAAACAAAAAAGAAGGACGTTTTTTCGCACCTTGAGGGAAAGTGATAAACATTAGACAAGGTACACTCAAGAGTCATTGCTGTAAGAACCAAGTGATGGTTCTGACTTATTTCTACAAGGGTTGCCGTCCATTTTCGCATCAGTTCTCCGTTGATTTACATTCAGGTATGAAGCAGCAGAGAAATCAATGCAGAAGCCCTTTCCTTGCCACATTTGCAGCCTGCCGGAATTCGTGCCCAGCTTGAACTCCAAACCACAAATTGTTTTCATGCCACAGTTGGGGATCGAGGTTTTTACCTCTTTTCTGTCAGTAGCTTTGGGTTTGTCAGATTTTTTAGCTGACGGCTTGCGTGTAGTAAATTCAGAAAAGGCGCTAGGCAAGCAGGGAACCAGTATACACTTTCCGAGTCTCCGACAAACAGGGGAGCAAGAGACCTGCCGGGCAGAGTCTACGGTGTGTGAGTGCCCAACACTACCTGCCTAAAATCAGCAGCTTCAAGTCCTATTTGCTTACTACGACTCAGTTCGCATGGACACTAATAACATGAAGAGGAGAACACTGAACGATAGAAGAGGCATCACGATAAGGGGCATGAGCAGAAGAGCCAATGGCTCGACAAAAGCCGCAGAATCTCAGCTCATCAGGCTTGAGCCAAGCTGGCTCGTTGAGCTGGTCACCAGCTCGTGGGCCTGGCACTAACAAGGGGGAGCACCAACCCCTGGAACCAAAATGATGGTGAAGGTGAGCAATAGACGGATTACTAGTCCATCAACTTAAACTCACAACTGTTAGCCATTTCTGGCATGTTTTGCTAACGAGAACAATGCTCTCTTTTACTGACCAAGGTTTTGTAAGAAAATGCGGTCTTCTATGTTGTAAGACGAACACGAACGACCACCAAGAGCGGACTGTTACAATAACCATGCATTTATACCTTGCTCCTGTCCTATCTGAGTGACCGCAACCACTAAGACAGCTAGGCTTGAGCACCGTGGCGGCCAGAGTTTTTTTTTTCGGCCCTTTGTGTTGGGATCAAACACGTTCTTGTTCGGTGTGCCGCTGCAGGCCGAGGCCGCAGCGCAACGTTCATGTTCGTGTTTGTATTCGTCACGAATGTCCTGCGACCATTTTTAGGTTGACGGGGCATTCAATTTGAGCTCATTTTTTAGCAGGACCAACAGGACCACAAATCAACACTTCTCTCAACACATTTTCCCCCAGCGTAAGATTACCTCTTTCTCAGCCTATAATAAGGAAGGCGCCAAAGGCTAGGTGGAATTGAGCAGGAAACCATCACCAGGAACCTCGTTTTTGGGAACTCTACATGAAATCTTTGGCGACTCCATAATTTACGGCAACAAGCTTTATTCACGCCCCTAGACAGCAGAAAATTTCGGTTCCTGTTTAGCTTAAGGCGGGCTAGGGTTTATGCTTGTTGGATGATGGCTTCGCAACCACCAGCAGTAGGTGGAGTGGTAGGTGGTCACGGCTGTGCACTGCGCCCTCAAATCCAGCACGACCTCTGCAGGGTGGTGTAGGGGGCAGACCCGCGCACCCGCGACTTGTTTCGTTGGGGTTTTTAATCCATGCCAGCGGGGCGCACGACTACTACCACTGTTGACAGTGATAGCAGGGATGAGGACGAGGAGCTAAGTTGCGGAAGACGCGTCTAGCGTCTTAGACGCTGGCGTCTAGACGCCACGCCTAAGACTCTAGACGAGCGTCTAGGGCTGATTAGACAGAGGGTTAGACGCAAGCCCGGGCAGGCAAAAAAAAGTAAGGACAACCAAAAAAACCTTCTATGGGGCATGGGGAGGGGAAGGATGTGGACGTAGCTAACATTTGAGGCAATTTCTTCTTAGGTCTTGACTTTTTCCCCCCATTTTTTTTTTTTCGGCCTGCCCAAAAAACCCCTTGCGTCTTGCGTCTTCGCGG